CTTGTTTTAAACCATACAAAGCTTTTTCAGTTTATACACATGGTTCGGAAATTTGGGATCCTCAAAACCTGGAGGTTGTTCCACAAAGACTTCTTCTTTTAAGTCCCCATTTAAGAACGCACTTTTAACGTCCATTTGAAAAAGTTTAAAACCCCTGGCACTAGCAAAAGCACACAGCAATCGAATAGCCTCTAGACGAGCTACTGGTGCAAATGTTTCGTCGAAATCAATCCCCTCTTCCTGATTATAGCCTTTGGCAACTAACCTAGCCTTATTCCTGAAAATGTCACCTTCTTCATCGGTTTTGTTCTTATAAATCCATTTGGTGCCAATAATTGTCCTATTAGCAGGTCTAGGTACTAATTCCCACACGTTTGCTCTTACAAATGGACCTAATTCTTCATGCATTGCACCATTCCAAAATTCATCTTGCAAGGCTTCTGTTATGGTTTTAGGTTCTATTAAGGACACGAATGCAACATGCACAGAATGAGTTTTGGAACGAGTTAGCATACCTTGGTCCATGTTCCCTATCACAAGAGAAGCTGGATGTCGTTTACTAATGTGTGGGGGTGGCTGAAGTACTATTTCTGTTCCAACTTTTGTACCTTCCTGGACTTCAGGGCCTGCCGCCTCCCTTTCCTTGTTGTTTGTAGAGGTTCCCTCGGTCATTTCTTGTTGTAGCACTGGTTCCGAGTCCTCTGTCGAGGCAGCCACCACCTGCTTTCTATCTAGTCCAAAATCATCATCATCAACCTGTTCTGGACACTCATCGAAAGATTCATCAAACAACACATTGATAGACTCTTCAACCTTGAGAGTTCGTTTGTTAAATACTCTATAAGCCCTGCTATGATTAGAATAGCCAAGAAAGGTTGCTTCATCAGATTTTGCATCAAACTTACCTAGAGGATCCTTGGTATTAAGGACAAAACATTTACACCCAAAGGGGTGAAAATATCCTATATTAGGTTTCTTTCCTTTCCACAGTTCATAGGGTGTTTTCTTAAGAATAGATCTTATCAAGGCTCTATTTGTAATGTAGCATGCAGTATTAATTGCTTCTGCCCAGAAATGTTTAGGCAAAGCATAATCATTAAGCATGGTTCTACCAATCTCAATTAAGGTTCTGTTCTTTCTCTCCACAACTCCGTTCTGCTGAGGAGTTCTAGGTGCAGAGAAGTTGTTAGAAATCCCAGCCTCATCACAAAACTGCTCAAAAGGTTCTGATATGAATTCCCCCCCATGATCACTTCTGACACTGCCTATCCTGAGTTGTTTTTCATTTTCAACTTTCCTAGAGTAGGTTTTAAAATTCTGAAAGGCCTCGTCCTTGGATGCCAGAAAATACACCCAAGTGAACCTGGTGTAGTCATCTACAATTACAAAAGCATAATGTTTCCCTCCGTAACTACGAATATTAGCAGGACCAAACAGATCAATATGGATCAGTTCTAGAGGTCTATTTGTAGAGATTACTGCTTTGCTCTTGAAACTAGATCGTGCGTGTTTACCCTTAGCACAAGCATCGCAAAAGAAGTCCTTTCTATCTTTCAACCCAGGCAGCCCTCTTACTAGTTCTAGGTTGGACAGTTTTGATAAAATTCCTATACTAACATGACCCAGTTTCCTATGCCAAAGAACTTGATCCCCTTTATCATGAGTTATCAAGCAAATCTCATCTGGTTTGTCATTAATGTTCAAAACATATATTTTTCCTTTTCGTTTTCCAGAGAACAGTACCTTTTTATCTTGAATTGACTCTACATAGCAGCAATCAGATTCAAATACAACCCTCTTACCTTGACCACACATCTGACTGATGGACAAGAGATTATGTTTTAATCCCTCTACCAGCATTACGTTTTTTATAGAGGGACCAGAGCCTATGTTGCCTTTTCCTAGAATGTATGCATGATTGTTATCCCCAAAGAATACCTTACCTGACTTACCTGTCGTGAACGTCGAGAAAAGTTTCTTGTTACCTGTCATGTGATGTGAGCACCCACTATCCAATACCCATTATGATGTCTCCATGCTCACTTGGAGACATTTCTGCACAAAAAGCAGTCATTTGGTTTTTGGTATCCAGACTTGCTTGGATACCCGTTTGTCTTGATGATTTGAACAAAACCTACTAATGTGGCCTTTCTTATGACATGTATAGCAGATTAGAGATAACCTCCTTTTACACATTTTAATTGTATGTCCTGTCCTGTGACAGTACTTGCATTCATTAGATCGACGAGCTCTCATCTCGTGAGGTGTTGTTACTGTTCTATTCCTATTCCTATCCTGTACTGACGTTTCATTTGACTCGTAGTTGCATCTTATAGAGTTCTTAACCTGAGTGACCAGTTTCTCATTTTGATCAGTTAAGGTAGCTAAACAAGAGGTTAACTCAGCTGACTCTTTTCTTAAGTCCTCACATTCTTTTCTAAGTCTGATATTATCACTATCTTGTTCACCCATCCTCTTCCTAAGCGTTTCATGCTCAATTGTTAGTTTGAGATAGTCCTTTTTTAATTGAGAGTATTTTATTCTGACGTTACCAAACTCTGCCTGAATCTCTTTTATGGTTGTAGTTAATTGATCATCATCACTGTAATATTCTATTTCACTATATGTGTCAGAGTTTAGAATACTTACCTCACTTGTCTGATGTCTGTTATCAGACTCAGGTTGATCATCAAGAGCCATATAACTTTCTTCATGTAGTTCCTCATCATCATCTTCCTCTTCACTTCCACTCCACGTAGCTGCCATCGCACGTTCTTTTCTTAATTGAGGACACTCTGCCTTGATGTGTCCGGATCTTCCGCATTTGAAACATCCTGCTGAGTTGATGCCTTTAGCACCTTGAATCTGCTCGTTTCGACTTCTGAAATTAGGTTTGAGCTGACCAAATCTGGTTGCACCTTCCTTTTCCAAATCACGGTTCTTTGTCACAAAATTTCCTCTTCTCTTCTCTTTTCTTATTCGAATCAGTCTGCTAATCTGCTTGCTAAGCAGAGCAAGTTCTTCATCCTCCATGTCTTCAAGCTCTTCAGAGTCATCATTTAAGGTGGCTTTGAAGGCGATTCCTCTTTTTCCTTTATCTCCAGTCATCTTCTCACCATTGTTTCTGCTAAGCTTGTCTTCATGAGTTGCAAGTGAACCTATAAGCTCATCAATGGGTAGAGCTTCCAAATTCTTGGCTTCTTCAATCGCCGTAACTTTGGGAGTCCATTTCTCGGGCAATCCCCACAAAATATTTCTTACCAGATCACCACTTTCATAAGACTTCCCTAAGTTTTCCAGGCTATTGACAATGTTGGTAAATCTCTCATACATTTGTCTGATTGTTTCGCCTTCCTCCATTTTGAAAAGCTCGAACTGTTGCTTCAGAGAATTGACGCGTGAGGTCTTCACCTGGGATGTGCCCTCATACGTGACTTGTAGTTTATCCCATATCTCCTTTGCTGTCTTGCACCCTGCTACCTTGTGATATTCTTCAGGACCAAGGGCGCAGTACATAAGATTGGTTGCCTTACAATTCTGTTGAAACCTCTCATAGTCTTCATCTGTCCATTTTTCCTGATCCGCTTTTAGCTCATACGGACCCTTCGTTACCCTTGCCCATAGCTTAGGATCCGTCGATCCGATGAACAGCTCCATGCGGTTTTTCCAGTACCCATAATTGACTCCCTCGAACCTAGGAGGCCGATTTTGCAAAAACCCATCTGCTAGGTACAGTGGGGCATTGTTTCCCGAGCCTGACGTCATTTTGGATTCCGCCGGAGGTTGCAGAACCTTCTTCTACGGCGACCTTGCTCTGATACCACTTGTTGGTCCGGTGGCGCGCGCCTTCTTTTTCTTTAAAAGGGGGTTTTTGCACCTGCAATTTCACGAAATTGGATATCTGGAATTTGCTAGGGTTCTTTCGAACCTGGTTAGAAGAAAATGGAAAACAAACGTTTTGATCTGAACACTTGACCTAGCACTCTCCACTTCTAGTTTTACCTCACGTGTATAGATACTCAGATGGGCTTTGGCTTAAGGACTAAAGCCCACAATCTTATTTAATTTCGGTTTCCTTACTGGCCCACTCAAACTCGTTCCTGAGCCCGTCTGTTTAATCCTAGCAGCTAAGGCCAACACTGCCGTTTTCCCTAAACAACTATCAGAGGTTTACTTTGAGACTTAACGGATCACAGCACCTTACTTGGCCAATTTGAGTGATGAACAAAAACAGAGATGTGCAGAAATCTTAGAAACAGAGTAAACAAAGACACAGCCAATTTTTACGTGGTATCCAGTGTTGAGAGAAAAGAGTATCTCAACACTGACTAATCCACGGTCAGTGATTCACTAATCCGTGATCACTGACGTTCCACTAAGGATATGTTCTTGAAGAGCAGAGTACAAAGTACAGAGCTTCCCTGATCAACCTTCTCGGACTGATCAGATTCTAATCGTGATCAACTTCCCGTTGATGACTCAGTCTACCCAGATCAACTCCCTGTCGACCTGCTCGAGCAATCTCCCCGATCACTCAACCACTTCTCTATCAATCTGTTTACATCAACTCTCCTGCTATTTTCACTTGATTGATCTCCGAAAAGTATATCCTCTAATCTAACCTCCTTTGCTTTATACTGATTTCAAAGCTAGCCGTTGCTGCATTCAAGTTTCCGCCTTGCTGTGAAATCTTCAGATTTGGTAACTCCTTGATTTCGAGATTTGGCTTTCCTTCTGCTTGATTTGTCTTTCCATCTTACTCGTTCTCTTCCTTTCTTGCACTGCACGTTCCCTATTGACTGGCTTGATCCCAACACTTAATCCATTATATTACTTTCCAACAAATTAACAGAACAAATGAACAATTGCATAGCATAAATCAGTTTTATTGAAGGCTGCAAGCATCCAAACACGCTTACAATTAAAAAAACACTATGAAAAAAAAAATGACACTGGATCCCATCTCAACCCTCAAGTCCTCAACCAGGTAGGTACAGTAACTAAACGGGAGGTAAAGGGTTATATTGCACAACGGGAATTAGTTCCAAGTGATTCTTCTTCCTCAGGGAGACGCCAAACTGCTCGTCCATATTCAAGCTTTCCGGCTCAGCTCCACCGGGAAGCTTCCAGTCAAAATGGAACAACAAATTCGCCAGGGGAAGTTCCACAACCGCTAACCCAAAAGTCATTCCAGGGCACATCCTCCTTCCCGCTCCAAACGGGAGGAACTCGAAATCGGTTCCTCGAAAGTTCACTTTCTCATCGAGAAACCTCTCGGGGAGGAACTTCTCGGCCTCCGCACCCCAGTAACGAGGGTCCCTCGATATGGCCCACACGTTCACCAGCACCCTCGTCTTCAGAGGGATGTCGTACCCGAAGATCCGACACTCCTCCCTGCACTCCCTGGGAAGGACCAGCGGAGTCGGGGTGTGCAGCCTCAGCGTCTTCTTGATCACCAGTTTCAAATAGGCCAGCTCGTGAATCCCGGATTCTTCCACCTTCCCTCTCTCGCCGAACACCTTTCTCACCTCGGATTTTGCCTTGTGCATCACTTCCGGATTCCTTATCATTTCCGCCATCGTCCATTCGATCAGCGTGGCAGGAGTCTCGCTTCCTGCTAGGAAAATGTTCTGTCCAGTGACGAACTCAGGATTTTTTTTTAGAAGCGTATCAGTTGATAAAAATACACTAATGAAAAAAAATAAATAAAAAAAAGCAAAAAAAAAATATTATAAGAGGTTTTGTAAAGTTTTGCAAGTCAATTAAATACCAGAAGGAAAGCGTTGATGGCATCGGTGGACAAGTGAAAACCAAGGGTGCAGTCATCCTCCTGAACTCTCAAAAGCACGTCGAGAAGATCCTCCGACGACGACGACGACGTCGTTCCCTTCTGCTTCTCCAACGCTCTCTTGGATCTGTGCTGCCCAATCATGCTCTCCATCAACCTGTCGGTGACCTTATGCACGCCGTCGAGCCACTCCGTCGTGCCAAACAGCCTCTGCACCAATCCGCACGAAGGGAACAAGAAGGATATCTTGAACCCTCCGGCGTACTCCACCAGCTCCTTCCGCCACCTTCATGAACTCCTCGGGCTCCTTCGACACGTCCCCGAACGTCGACATCGATATTATCCGGTACGTCAGGTTGAACAACATCTTCGTCGGGTCGATCGTGGAGTCGGCAGTCGCGGCTTGTTCATCAGTAATCCGCGTGACGAGACGTAGCACCTGTATTCAGATGTTACATAACTGGAGGTTGATATTCATTACGTAAAATAACCATACAGTTAAGCGAATGTTACCTATTGAACAAATATTACTCTTTGTTTTAACAAAAAAGGGTTAAGAACTAGTTGGTTTCAAGAAATCTAAATTATTGACTTCATCAACTTGAGTTGTTAACAGAGGTTCAATTATATATCATACATGCATGCTGGAAATTTGCATAGGTTCGGACACCATGTGCTTAACGAAACATATTTGGGTCACTAGGATAAGAACAAAAGATATATCACGATCACAAAAAGCTCTGATACCATGTCCAATAACTCAATTTGTTAGAAGAGTTTCAATCATATAACATTTACTAACAGCTAGAAGACGTTCAATTATTCATCTTATACCATATATTGACACACCCCCTCAAAACGAAAACTAACTCGTATGTGCTTGAAGTACTTTTCATAGATCAGAACACTATGTTCTTTAATATATAAGGAGGTGGTTCGAGATTTGATCACAAAATCTCAGCTCTTATACCATATCAAACCCAGTTGATCACATTTAACTCGATTTATTAGAAGACTTTTTTTCAACATGTATCTCATACCATTTACTAACCACACGTACCTCGGCCTCCCTGACCCGACGCAGGGAGTCGACGCGCTTGGCGATGAGGAGCTCGAGCGTGGCGATACGTCGGAGCTGGCGCCAGTAGTCGCCGTAGGGAGCGTGGATGAGGTCGATCCCGCCGTACATTACTTTGGCCAGGCTAGGGTGCGAGGGCCGCTGGGCGAACTTGATGTCGTGGGTCCTCATCACTTCCTTGGCGGCCTCCGCCGACGATACCAGAGCACGTGCTGAATCTCCCCGAGGTCCAGTCGGATCACGTCGCCGTGCTTTCGGGCCAGCTCCCGCAGCAGCCGGTGCGGGAGCTGGCGGGAGGTGAGGAAATGGTGAAGGTGGCCTATCACGGGGAGCTTCCATCCCGGAGCCGGCGCCAGCTGGCGGTGGCCGGTTTTTCCATCCTCCGCCCATATTTTACGTGAGAAAATTATGATGGTTAGGAAGAGGAAGAAGATGGGAAGAGCTTGTTGCAGGAGGAGCTCCATGTATTTTGCTGTGATGAGTCCATAACTTGTTGCGGAGTACGTACTAGTTGATTTGTTGTGTACGTACCCGAGCTGTCCAAGTGTCATTTATTTTTGTTTGAGGACTATACTAGCTATTTGTCATTCCCAGTTACGTGGAGAAAGGGATTGCCAACTAGTATATATTGTTTTGTAAGCTGCTGCCGCATCATTATTGATTCTGCAGAACCCTAATAAAACCTAAGCCGAAGACTCCTTGAGTGAGTCTTCCGTGGATTAGTCTTGCTCTCTAGAGCAAGGATACCACGTAAATCGTTGTGTTCGTGTTTTACTTTTGATATTTCTCATGGTATCAGAGCTGTGACAAGATCACGGCATCCTCTTTGGCGTTATGGGTTCCGACGAAGAGAAGATGAAGTCTCATGCTTCCGAGACGTCGACGATGGGCGCTGCCTCTGGTGGCAGCGGTGATTTCCCTCCGGCGTTCATTCTCCACAATTCGGACAGCCCTAACCAATTATTTGTTGGCGAGTTGCTCACTGATGTCAACTACGGTGAGTGGCTTGGTGATATCACTGATTCTTTTATTGCTAAGAATAAATTGGGATTCGTTGATGGTTCCATTGGTAAGCCTACGGAAGGTCCTCTTCGGGATCAGTGGAAACGGTGTGACGCAATGGTTAAAGGCTGGTTAAAGACTGCTATGAGCAAAGAGCTCCGTTCCAGTGTTCGTTTCGCCAGCACTGCTCGTGAAATCTGGGTCGATCTGGAAGCTCGGTTTGGGCATGGTGCCCCGCCCCGGTTGTATGAGTTGCGGCGAACAATTGCCATGCTTCAGCAGGAGAAGACGAGCGTCTCTAGCTTTTACACCAAGCTGTGTGGCCATTGGGACGAGATCCAGTCCATTGCGCCAGCACCAGAATGCTCTTGTGGAGGCTGTACTTGTGACGTCAAACGCCAGTATCGTGCGATCAAGAACAGTGAACAGCTCTTCGACTTCTTGATGGGGCTTGATGACGCTTTCTCTACTGTCAAAACGCAGATTCTGGCTATGCGTCCTATTCCTAGTTTGGCGGAGGCTTACCAGCTCGTGAGCAACGATGAACATCAGCGAAAGATTGCTCAGGCTCGTCGTCCAACCCCCGAAGCTGCTGCGTTCCATGTCCAGGACGCTCGCCCTTCCTCTTCGCGCGGGACTACCGACCGGCCTGCTGAGTCTACTAAGCCTCGTTATGTTTGTGATCACTGTGGCAAATCTGGCCACACAAAGGATCGATGCTTTCAGCTTATTGGCTATCCGGAGCGTGGGGCGGACAAAGGTGACAAGAGTGGTCGCCGCAAAGGGGGCGATCGCGGCAAGGGTGCTCCTCGTGCTGCTCAGGTTGGGGTTCGTGATAGTCCCATTCCTGGCCTTTCTGCTTCTCAGTTTGAACAACTGAAAACCTTGTTTGGAAGAGACCCGAAGTCCGCGCCCCGCCCAACAGACAATACCACAGGTAATGGAAATTCGACACATAATTCACTCTCTTCTGATGAATGGTTAATTGATACCGGCTGCAATGAGCACATTGTGAACAATTCGGGTCTAGTTTCCGGCTCACGGATCGAACCAGGATTGCAAGTTCGGGTCCCTGATGGGTCGTCTATTGATGTTCGTCATATTGGTTCCGTTCGGTTGTCCAACGGAATGGTCTTGCCTCGAGTGCTTTTGGTTCCGGAATTTAAATGCAACCTTCTCTCTGTTAGCCAGCTTACTCGGGACTTTTCCCTGGCTTTGATCTTTCTTCGCGACTTCTGTGTGATACAGGACTTGAACTCGAAGATGATTATTGGGACGGGGACACAGACTGATGGCCTCTACTACTTGCGACTCTTTGATGGTGTTCGCCGCGAGATGGCTCATGCTACGCAGCGGCTGGTCTCTGCAGAGCTATGGCATTCTCGCTTGGGTCATCCGTCGCCTGAGAAGCTCAATTTGTTGCATTTAATTCCAAGCACTCGTAGGACGAATAAGACCCTTTGCTCCTCTTGTTTACGAGCAAAGCAAACTCGTTTGGTTTTTCCTTCTAGTTCTATTCGCAGTACTCGACCTTTGGAATTGATTCACATTGATATTTGGGGCGGTTATAAGGTTCCTTCTTTGAGTGGTGCTCAGTACTTTCTCACTATTGTTGACGATTATACCCGTGGTGTTTGGATTTATCTTCTTAAGTTCAAGTCCGAGGCAGCCCGGTTCTTGAAATTTTTCGTGCGTCAAGCTGCTCGACAGTTTGATGCTCTTGTTAAACTCATCCAGACTGATAATGGTACTGAATTTCAGTCCAATGATTTGCTTGATTTCTATGCCAGTGAAGGGATTCAGCTCCAAACTTCTTGTGTTGATACTCCCCAGCAGAATGGGATTGTTGAGCGAAAACATCGACATATTCTGGACACTGCTCGAGCCCTGCGCTTCCATGCTAACTTACCCAAGAAGTTTTGGGGGGAGTGTGTACTTACTGCAGGTTATTTGATAAATCGACTCCCTCACAGTACTTTGGGAGATCAAACCCCCTACGAACGGCTGTTTGGGAAGAGGCCATCGTACTCTCACCTTCGCACCTTTGGTTGCCTAGCTTATGCGAAGGACACGCATCATCACTTGGACAAGTTTGGCGAGCGGGGCCGGCCGTGTGTGTTTCTCGGGTATCCGTCGTCCCAAAAGGGATATCGCGTCTATGAGCTCTCTACTCGACGCATTTTCACTTCTCGTGATGTGGCCTTCGACGAGACTGTTCTTCCTTTCCAAAAGCTTGTTAGCGAGGTGCCTGTCCCGCGGTTCCCTCCAGCTTTGCCCATTGTTTCTGATGACGACGAGGCAGTTCCCCTTGCTCCAGAATCCGAGCCTCCTACCACGGATCCTCCGGAGAATGGTGCGCTGGACTCCCCTTCGTCGTCGCCCAGCACTCCCGACGGGGGCGCCACCTCGCCCAGCTCCCCTTCGCCCTCGCCATCCGGGCTCGACACGGGTTCCCCTGCTGGGCCCTCCTCTCCTGACAGACCGGCCAGCCCTCCCACAGCTCCCGCGGCTGCTGTCAATCCTCCCCGACGTAGTAATCGGGTGCGGCAGCCTTCTGTTCGCCTGCGAGGTTATGATACCTATCTCCCTTCTTCTCATACTACCACTACTGCTAAATATCCATTGTCTGCTTACGTCACGTTTGAGCGTCTTTCTCCTAATCATCGTGTTTTTGTGGCAGCGGTGGATGCAATGGTGGAACCGACATTCTTCCATGATGCGGTTAAGCTTGCTTGTTGGCGTGAAGCCATGCAGCGCGAAATTGCTGCTTTAGAAGCCAATGGGACGTGGGATCTCCAGGACCTTCCTCCCGGTAAAAAGGCCATTTCTTCGAAATGGGTTTATAAAATCAAGTTTCGTCCGGATGGAACTGTTGAGCGCTACAAAGCGCGTTTGGTGGCTAAAGGTTTTACGCAAGTTGAGGGTGTGGACTATCATGATACGTTTGCTCCTGTTGCCAAACTTGTCACCGTTCGCACTGTGCTTGCTGTCGCGGCTCATCGTGGCTGGCATCTCCACCAGCTCGATGTTAATAATGCTTTCCTGCACGGTGATCTGCAGGAAGAAGTCTACATGAAGCTTCCACCGGGATTTGCTCGACCGGGGGACAATCGAGTCTGTCGTCTTCGCAAATCCCTTTACGGGTTGAAACAGGCATCCCGCAACTGGTACATGAAGTTCACTCAGTCGCTACAACAGTTCGGATTTCAACCATCTAAAGCTGATCATTCGTTGTTTATTTACCGGCGCAATGGAGTTTTCACATTTGCTCTTATTTATGTGGACGACATTATTCTGGGTGGTGATGATTTATCCACTATTCAGCGTGTCAAAGACTTCTTACAGGAGCAGTTCAGCATTAAAGACCTAGGTGTTCTGAAATATTTTCTGGGGATCGAGGTGGCGCGATCTCGGACTGGGATAGTACTGTCCCAAAGAAAGTATACGTTAGATATCTTGAAGGATGCTGGAGTCCTGGGTGCTAAACCGTGTGCTTTTCCTATTGAGCAAAATCATCATCTCACCCGCATAGAAGGCCCTGCTGCTAAGGATCCTTCGGGTTTTCGTCGTCTTGTTGGACGTCTGCAGTACTTGACTGTGACACGTCCCGACATTGTCTATGCCGTCAACATTTTGAGTCAGGCAGTTCATTCTCCTCGACAGGAACACGAGGATGCTGCCTATCGAGTGTTGCGCTATCTTAAGGGCGCGCCTGGTCGCGGCTTGCGGATGTCAACGACTGGAGATCTTGTGTTGACAGCTTACTGCGACGCTGACTGGGGTGGCTGCCAACGTACTCGTCGCTCTACTACTGGGTACTTCGTTCGGCTGGGAAACAGTCCTATTTCCTGGCGCACCAAGAAGCAGCCTGTTGTTGCACGTTCATCAGCTGAAGCTGAGTACAGAGCCATGGCTAGTACTGTCAGTGAACTTGTCTGGCTTCGCTGGTTACTTAGTGAGTTGGGTGTGACCAACTCATCTCCGATTCCGCTGCATTGTGATAACCAGGCAGCTCTCCATATTGCTGCCAATCCAGTGTTTCATGAGCGAACGAAGCATGTCGAGATGGACTGTCATTTCGTTCGTGAACGTGTGACTTCTGGCGAGATAGCTCCACAGAAGATATCCTCCCGTGACCAAGTTGCTGATATGTTCAACAAAGGGTTAGGTGCGGAGCAGCTCAGTTTTCTGACCTCCAAGCTTGGCCTGCATGATATACACGCCTGCGCTTGAGGGGGCGTGTTGCGGAGTACGTACTAGTTGATTTGTTGTGTACGTACCCGACCTGTCCAAGTGTCATTTATTTTTGTTTGAGGACTATACTAGCTATTTGTCATTCCCAGTTACGTGGAGAAAGGGATTGCCAACTAGTATATATTGTTTTGTAAGCTGCTGCCGCAGCATTATTGATTCTGCAGAACCCTAATAAAACCTAAGCCGAAGACTCCTTGAGTGAGTCTTCCGTGGATTAGTCTTGCTCTCTAGAGCAAGGATACCACATAAATCGTTGTGTTCGTGTTTTACTTTTGATATTTCTCATAACTGATCAAAGTAAGGGTATATATAGCTGAACGTCGGAGTTGAAGCTGAACGTCCGGCCCATATTTTTGTTATTTCGTGGCCTGGAATATTGTAGCTAGTATCCAGTCCTCTAATGTCATTCCCTTGGTCAAATTAATCTTTTTAAATTCTACTATCTTATATTTGATCTTTGTTGTCTTGGGAGTTGGGACACAAGGTGGTCCAACCGGTTGGTTTTCCAAGTGAAATGGTTTTTATAAATTAAATGAGAAAAATGGAAATAATCGATACCAAATACATTAGTTGGGAGAAGCAATTAAAATAGTTAATTCACGCAAAACAATTTATAGTTGAGAATTGATAACTAATAACAAACAATCAGATACGTAAAAATAAAAGTATACTATATTTATTTTATGATAACAGTTAACAAAATTTCTTGGTTCAAGTTCAATGATAGGTGTTTATTTTTGGACGTCATTTGTGAAAATAATGAAATTCGGTCTAACCGGTGAGTGTTTCAGATTTTGACCGAATTTCACCAAAGCCTACTACAGCTCTTTTTCCAGTTGGTTTCATGCATTTAGATCGCGTTTTACATCTTCTACTTTGGTATCAATGCAGAAGTGTTTGTACATGTATAACTTACATACGCTGTCTTTTGGCCAAAAAAGAAAGACTTATATACTCTGTCTTGGTCTTGGTTCGTTGATAGTATTCATAAGTTCATCACGGCCGGCGAGTAGTATGGGCTGGCCGGTCCTACAGCAGAGTCTTTAATAGGGATGGTGTGCAATGGTTCGGTCCCACCCGGACCGTATTAAATGGTTGAAAATCGTGGTTCAATAGTAAAACACTTTTTTGTTTAGGGATTGAACAAACAATGTATTTGGTACGTTTTGATTTTATCTATATGTCAATTCATTTCATTTTTCTGTATTTATAAATTCATGTGATCAAAATCATGAAGTGTTCCCTCAAAAAGAAAAAAAAAATCATAAAGTGTTATATTCGGTTCAGTGTGATCGGATCCAAACATCGATTTAATCCGATGTGATACGGACCAAACCGTTGCGTCTGGGCATTGGGCCGTGATATTCTGCTTTTTGGTGGCAAAGTATGGTAGATCTTTCTCTTCTTAGCACGTTCCATTTGGGCCGGGTTTTTTCGAGGGGATTTGGGCCTTTTCAATTCTTGATCTGGGCAGGGCTTTTTATTGATTAGTCTGCTCATTATTCTAAGTCGACACGTGGTGGGTTTTGTGTGGCTGGGTACTCAACGTAAGCAGTCGAAGTGTCGAACTGTCCAAGTCTTCTTCGTCGCGTCTCCGTCAAAAACCCTCAAAAGTTACCTTTTCGGTTCCCCCCGTTCCTCTGCCTGTTCTCTCTCTCTCTCTCGGCAAAAGGGAAACCGAAAATGTCCGATGACCTTCCCACCGATGTCGTCACCAACATCCTCCTCCGCCTCCCGGTGGCCGCAATTCTGCGCTGCCGCGCCGTCTGCAAGCCCTGGCGGGCCCTGATCGACACCCCAAGGTTCACGAAGCTCCAACTCGACTACACAGCTGCCACCACCAAAAACGCCGTCCTCTTCGTCCTCGAGGACGACGGCGACGACAACGGCGACCTCCGCTCCGCCGCGTACGTCAACGGCCTCCGCCGCGAAGCCCGTATCAATATCCAAACCGCCCAAGTCGGCGACGCAATTTCACGCCAGGGCGTAACCCTATTCGGGTCGTGCGACGGGTTGCTCTGCCTCGGCTACGACAGCGGGAAGGTGCTCATAATCAATCCGGCCACGAGGAAGTCGCACTCCACGATGGTTCGTGTAACCATTTCCCCGTATGATTTCAGCGCCGGCGGTGCGCATTGGTCTTACCGCGACGGTTGCGGGTTCGGGTATGATTCTGTCTCCGACGACTATAAGGTCGTCAAGATTAACCAGAAGCTCGAGTCTAGTAAAAAGCTTCTCCAATCTGAAGTGATTAGTCATGGAGTTAGGTTGAACTCTCGTGTATCCGTCAATTTCCCCTATTTCCTAGCTGGTTCGCAGAAAATAGGCGTGTTTGTGGGTGGGGCAATTCACTGGGTAGCTGGTAGGAGCGAACGATCCGGAGAACAGCAACGTGATTGTGGGTTTCGATTTAGGGCACAGTGTATGCAAGGAGATCCCACAGCCAAAGTACACCAACAGGCGATCGTTCAGCATGAGAGTTGGTGAGCTTGGGAAGTGTTTGTGCATATTTGCTAATTATTGGGGGAGGGTGGTTGATGTGTGGATGATGAAAGATTATGGAGTGAAGGAGTCATGGAGCATTCTGTTTTCGGTTCCACATCCCGGGCTGTCACACGATTATGGAATTCGATCTCTCGGATTCTCCATAACGGGCCACGATGTTCTTGTGCAGCTGGACGGCAGAAGGCTTGTTTGGTACGACCTGAAGAATTCCCAGAGGGGTGCTGGTGCTGCCCAGAAGGTCACCGTCAATGGATTGAGGACGGAGTGCATGGATGCCGTTGTTTGCTTTGGAAGCCTTGTTCCTCCTGATGGGAAGTTGCCACCCAAAGAAGTGAAAGTTGAGAAGCAATATCAGAAACCAAGACCCCAAAGGAAGAAGAGGTTTGGTGTTACTAGCTAGTGGCTACCTGTGTTTGTTACCATGTACTACTGCTTGTTTAAAACTGTGTTATTCTCGTTGCAGAGATGATTTCTTGGCTACTGGGTTCAAGCTGAAGCTTTAGTACTCCTCCACTAAGGTAATTTCTTGGTTATTGACTACATTACTATAGCTGATTGGTTCTTGTAACGTTAGTAGCGAACTCTATACTGAATCGCTTGGCAATCTGTTTCGCAGATGCATATTATGACATATAGAATAGAGTAGTAGTAGTAGAAGAAGAAGTCAGCTGGTTGGATGATGCATTGGAGGCTTGGAGCAGTGATGGACTGATGATGGGTAATAAGTGGTTGTTTTCAGCTTGTTCCCCACTCTCCATCATGAACCTATTTTGGCCATTTTGTAAATGCTGTGTGTGGGGAACTTAGGAAAGGGCTTCCCTGTTTTTGGCAACTTTTGGAAGCTCCAAATAGCATCAGAAGGATTGTCACTAAGTACTGGTGCAAGTAGTTAGTATGTAATGAACGTTGTAGTTTCTAAGCAACTGATATCAACCTTCCTTGCTTCATTTTGAGTACCATGCCTGATCAATGCTGTGGTGGAAACCTGTTTCGGCTTATCTGCTTCGTTCATTGCTTCTGATTTGTGAATGATTCGTTTCCTTTCTCATTGATAATGGTTTGTTCGCGATGCTCCTACGACCTAACTCATAGATTATATGTGTTCATGAGTTGGGAGAGAATGCTTCGTGAAGTATAGTAGGGTAGCTCTTGACTAATGTTTTGTTTACATATGAGACTATTATTTATAGTCGTTATACCGTGACAATTTGACAAAAAGATTTTCGTACCAAGATTTCTAACATATACGTTTTTGTGTTATGCTTCTTATTCGTTTTTAGTTTATTGGCTAAAGATCAACCAAATAACTCGGTTGTTAGGTTGAAATCATGATTGGTAAGTATGCTATGGATGACTCACACGTCGTGCGTATTGACATTTCAAGGCTCAAACTTTGACGTGTTTTGTATATATATCGTACACAATTTCGAAACTAACACACTTGAAGTAAGTAACGGAGTTGGATTAAACAGGAATAATGTGATTATGACTTGTAGAGTACGTGCTCAATATATATATATTTTTTTTTTGGTTGAACGTGCTCAACAAATTTTGGACTAATACCTAGGATTTTTTTTTTTTTTTTTTTGACAAGTAATACCTAGAAATTTGATTGAATGTTTAACATATGGATTAGGAAGAAATAAAGGCTTAGCAAAGACTTAATTAATTTGGGAAAATTCTAAATTCTCGTGATGACCAAAACTCCATAAGCCACATAAACTTTCATAGGCCGACACGAAAGTTGTGGGTAAAAGACCAGGAAATCAGTCCAATTAAAATTCGTGCCTAACGACTTGTTTCATCTTGGGCCATCGCCAGGCCCGCCACCGCTCAGGTCCAAATGCGTAAGCAGCCTAGCTGGCGAACCCATCCATTCTAGAGTCTTCTTCTCGTCTTGTCTCCGTCGAGAAACTCAAATTTTTTGTATTTCCCCTTTCCCGGCAGTTACTGAGGCAAGCAGAAGAAATATGTCCGATCACGTTCCCTTTGATCTCGTCACCAAGATTCTCCTCGGGCCAAACTAGAAGACGTTCAATTATTCATCTTATATCATATTTAATTAAAAGAACGAAAAAGGGTCCATTTTTCGCAAATGACAAGAAAAAAAATTAGAAAAAAAATTATGTCCTCAAAGCTGACGTGGCAGGTGAGGTGGGCATTGACTAACGGTCAACAAGTTTGACCGTCTGATTTAACGGTCAAACCCGCCTCCAGGCCAAATGAGGAAGTTTGCTACATAGTTCAGGCCAGAATAGCAATTTCCAATACCACGGGCCAAAGTAGAAAGTATATGGATATTTCGGGCCAAACTAGAATAAGCACTTCAACTAGCAAATAATAAATAGGAGAATACTGGGCCCAAACTAGAATAAGCACTTCAGCTGCTTCCCTTTTGACTTGCTTGCTACTTCCCAAAGGTCTGTTGAGGTCTACCAAAATATATACAAGGAACAGAAGCAACTGAAATAAGGAGAAGAACCAAAAAATATAAAAAATAAAGTTTGGCCCATGCAAGTCTCGAACCTGCGACCTTTGCGTTATTAGCAACACGCTCTAACCAACCGAGCTAATGGGCCTGTTTATTTAATAACTTCCTCCAAATATTTATCACAGGTATCGTGTTTTGAATAACTAGTCCGGAAAATGTTCTTAGCTCAGAGAACATTAACACTTAACCAGTCCATACAAATGGCAGGAAAATAAGAAAAAACCCAAACCATACAAAATATAAAATGTCACACTAAAAGATGGATCTAAGGAAAGAAATTGAATGGTTGGGAAAACAAACCATGAGATCAAAGTCACTTGGCGAAACTAATAAATAGGGTGTTTTAGTTTGTTTTTTTTTTTGCATTGAAGGGAGGCCGAAGCCGCATAGACAAGGGAGGTTACAGAAAAGAAGAGGGTTGCGTCACAACATGACGCTCAAAAGAAATGCCCATACAATCATCAATAAGAATGGGGGCTAACGCCGGCGGTGGATCAACAAGTTCATGCATACCCAGGGGATAGACGAGACTGTGCTTCGAGAGCCAATTCGCGGCTCTATTCCCCTCCCGATATACATGCCCGATGCTGACCAACCAATCTTGCGCCAGACTCCTCCGAATCGAAGCCAACAAAGAGGCGTAGGGATGAACGGGATCATGACGACTCTTAATTAACGAGATAGCCAACTGCAAGTCCGACTCAACAATAACACAGGCACACCCAGCTTTCCTGGCGAGTTGGAGGCCATAGTAGACAACCTAGAGCTCGGCAAGGGTCGCCGAGGCTTCACCCACTTTAGCAACGAAGTCCCAGATCCACTTACCATGCTCATCGCGGATAATACCCCCAGCTCCGGCTAGCCCTGGATTGCCCACCGAAGCACCATCAACGTTAAGTACCCACCCATTTCGAGGGAAGTTCCAGTGGATCTGCGTCTCCACCCTCTCTGGCTTGGATCCCTGGCGGCCAAAGCTCACCGTGGGGGCCTGCCAAGCCTTATGCCATAAAAGAGCCCTTTGATGGATGGAGAAAGCAAGGGAAGGTGCTGACAGCGCCTTATGCAGTCCCTGGAAACAACCTGTACACCTGTTCTTCCTTGAGAATGTTGGCACAGAACCAGTCTTCCTGGGTGTTGAGAAAGAAGCTCTGATGCTCCGCCTGCGGAATCCACATCAGCCAAAAGAAACGAGCAGGGTAGCAGTCACGCAATAGGTGGATGATGGTCTCTTCGTAGTTCCCGCATCTTTGGCACATGGGGGACTCCACACACTTACGAGAGTAGCGAAGAACATTAGTCGCAATGCGCCCTAAAGACACCAGCCACGCGAAACACCTGACTCTTTCTGCAACCGGAGCTTCCAAATGGCTCTTCGCACCTTTTCATTTGGATCATTCCTCGGAGGCAACGCCAGACTGTAGGCCGATGAGGTTGAGAACTGACCATTCGAGGAAGCGGTCCAAAGAATAGTGTCCTCTTCCAGAGACAGGGGATCCACATGGCTTGCCGTGATTTTTTGAAGCATAACAATCTACTACTTCATGTAATTACCACCTTATCATGAACGTGATTAGTAATATGGAAAATGTTAATTTCAATAATTTTGATCATAGACAGGCCATGTTAAGTGTAGGGATGACAAAAAGGATCCAATACTCGGATATTTGCCAAATCTAATTTATTATAGACCAAATCAAGTTTGAATAATTTTATTTTAGGATCACACATCCATATCCAATTTTTAAGTTTTGGTCTAAAATTTGACTCTTAATATCGGAAGTCCAAAATAAAATGGGTGCACGATTATAATGCAATTCTTGTATATTATTTTGTTATGAAACAAGTAGAAAGGTGGAAACAACTAAAATAAAGGTGTATTATTGGGTTGAACGTAGTTAATGAAATGACCGCCCTCTGTGGACTGGTCTTTTTCGGGTAAGCTCTCCATGTTAGGTGGGGTCTGTGGGCAAACAGCAGAAGTACCGATGAGCAGTAATTCTCGAGATGTAAAGGCGGTGAAGAAGAGGGGGACGTGGATTTACCTTGGTTTAAAAGATTGTCTGGTAGCTTCAGTGGTGGGGCTTTACGCGGCGGAGAAGGGTTGATGAAGATGTGGACGACTGGTATGGTTGGTGAGGGATGGTAGGGTTCAAAGGGGAGGTTCGATTGGAGCGCTCATATTGGGCGGGTTTACGATGGGCCTTTATCTGTAGCCCTAAAGCACCATTTGGGCTGGGCTCAAATGCACTTGTTGTCATAAAATGCAAAAAGACATGTCAATTTAAGAAGTAGACCAGGCCTAAACACGTTTGGTCCACAGTAATTAACGCTACAACGGATTTAAGCGTCTGCCTTGTTCGAAACACGAAGGACACAGCAGTGGCACACAAAGATTACCATAGTGTGGAATGAAGCTGAACTGAAGTTGCCGAACTGTATTACACATCAAAAGCAACGGCACACAAAGATTGGCACACTGTGGAAGTTTTGAATCACAATAGTGTTAATTTATGTGTTTAAACTTCTAGGCTTCCAATCCAGACCAAGAAGACACAACCAAACCAGTTTGAAGTTGTGGCTGCGCCAATAGTAGCAGACAAATCTGTGAAAAGGGCATGAAATGTTAGCTAACACGGTTGTAGTTTTGATAGTAGATTAGATAAAGATAATCATTTGTAGTTTTGTAAACTACCTTCATGCAATGCACAGCAGGTGCACAACCCACCCTGACCTATTAGACAGTGAGGACATCACTGAATGCCTCTGCAAACACAATGTTTCTTGTATAGTTGTTTGGAAGTTCTGCTGGATTTTCTATTACCATTCGCAAACCTGTTGCTGATCGTACCCTTGAAACTCCCACGTAGAGCTGTCCATGGCTAAATACTGGTTCTGGGAAATAGATTCCGACTTTGTCAAGCGTCTGTCCTTGGCTCTTATTTATTGTCATTGCATAACGTGTGCGAACTGGGAACTGACGTCTTTTGAGTATAAACGGCCACTTGGAGTTCTCAACATTGTGAATAATTTTTGGGATTATGACTTCGTCGGTGTCATAAGAACCTCCCATGATGTTGCCCTTCATGAAATTGTCACTCAACATTGTGATCATAATCCTTGTACCATTGCAAAGACCCAAAGCTGGGTTCAAGTTTCGCAGCAGCATAGCTGGAGTGTTTTTCTTCAATGTAAGTTCATGGTTTGACACTCCATTGAATGTAAGTGTGTTGAGAAACTCAGTTGGGTAGCATTCGTCGAATGTAGATGATGTGTCTGTGGATTGCAGCAATGAATCAGAACTATAATACGTCTTTGAATCACCAGGAACCCTTTGCATCATATAATCATTAATCTGAGACACGGTTGCATTCCTTGGCGCAACTATTGTCCTATTTTTTAGATATGCTGGGCGCATATAATTGGTGTCAAATGATTCGTATATATCATCTGCAATTGCTTCAATGTGATTTCCCTCATGTTGTATAAGAAACAACTTAGGTATTTGGGCTAAATTACACATTTGATCACTCGGATTACATAAATATTTCATGTTTGCCACTCGAATTACTTTTCTTTC